CACGGCTGAAAAATACCTGGCCACAGCCAAATTGAGCCCCGGCCTGAAAAAAACAAAACTTGCTCTGCTTCTGGCCAGCATAAAATCAGGAGAATTGGTAGCATTTCAAGGAAAGGGAGAGGGAGAAATAATGATCGCTGATGGGAAGCCAGCAAGTTTACCTAAGAGGTAGTGGGACATGTAGATCAGCATTCATTTCTAGGCCAGTGGGGTGCAGCAGGAAAAAAAGGAAAAAAATTGAGAGCAGTGGAAGAAAAAATGAAGTCTGCTTGTTTGGACGAGGAGGATTTCGAGCTCCCGCTGTGGCGACTCGTGGGGTTGCAGGTGTTTCGTATGTAAATCACATCCGAGAACCCCATCTTCTCATAGCCTGCAATCTGTTGATTTTTTAGTGTGGATGGACAGAGGATTAGAAAAATTGTTTGGTGCAATGTTACATCCACACCATCGCAGATACTTCCTGGCTGTAGCGAGTGTCTCCCAAGTGGCCCCAGAGCCAAATTTGGCCGTTGCAAAGCTGCATTGCAGTTGTGCCGAAACTTTTCTATGGCTGATTGTCGGCTGTCCGTAGTCCCGAAATATAAACGAAACTGGCCATTTTTCTCCGAGCATTTAAAAACTGGTTTATCATTGGCTCGGCCCATCATTGCGGCGGCAATTCCCGTGTGTTGGACTTGGATTGCGAGGTCCTCACTTTTTTGTTGCCCGGAAAATTGAAGGCAAATCATGATCCCATTGGTTCTGACGAAGCCGCGCGGTGCCGGACATACCGGAGAATGTCGGAGTAAACAAACAAACAAGCGAAACATGCTTCCAAAGGGCCGGCTTGTCGGGCCGGAGCGAGCTTGCTCTGAACCTGAACTAAATTAAAGATTACATTTGTTTACAAACTGACTAGCAGTTTTCCGTGCCACGCTATGGGAAGAGAACAGCTTAAAGATAATTGAGTCGGATTGACTCGGAAATTTTTTAATATTGTCAGCAAATTGTCAGCGGACCTCCTCCATATGTTTTTCAATGCCTTCAAGTTCCATCCAGAAAATGCGGGGCTATGAATATCTATGTCAGGATAGTGGACCAGCTATGCTGGTCGCGCTGTAGGCGATGGCTCAGTGAGGATGAGAGCGGAGGTTTGGTCTGGGTTTGGTCATGTTAGGATTACAGGATGACAGAGGCTGCAGGCTTAGTCAGTACATAGATCCTGCCATTCCAGACCTTCCAGACCTTCTCGACCAGACGGAAATGCAATAACTGCACCGCTCCTCTCCAACCCTCGGTTGGCTCGTCGCGGCCAAGCTGAATGTCGGTGATTGCCATGTGAATCAAAATTGATTTGATGGTATTTGCACCGAGGTAATGAATGAGCTGACGTTCTTCAAACTTTAATAGAAGAGGTCCATAGGGCACAAAAAGAGCCGATTTGAAGATGATAATAGAGGATGAGTGCAGATATTTGATGGCGGCTATTGCCATCAGAAGGTTGGTAGACTGCCATCGGAATGTCGGCAAACAGAACAGTTGTGGTCGATTTTCACCAAGTATAAATGTGCAAGGGTAGGAAATCACGGAAGAAGTCGAATGCAAAAAAGTTTTTTGTCTAATTAGGAGTTGTCACCGAGTAGGGGTTTTTTTCCCCGAGTAACAATAACAAGTACAACGCCCAGCCACTATTTTCAATAGAAAAATTTGAAGCATGTTTAGGCACGGCCACTAAATATATTAAGCACTGCCACTAACAAGTCCCTCAACAAAATCGGTCTCTAATGAAAATTTGATCAAATTTGGGTGCCCTCGAGTTTTGAAAGGGACGATCCCTATTACATAAGTACTCGTAATAAGAGGCAACATCGCTCCACAGCTTTGCAAACTTGTGACCATATATTTAAACGGCGCAGTAAGAAGCCACAGTAAGCTCTGATATCCTCTGAAACATTCATATTTGGCAGAACAGAGCACTCTCTGTCATTGAGCTCAGGCTCTGGACTCCTCTAGGCCGGACTAAGTGCGGACGGTCAACCGTCAACGGACGCGGCAACTTCAAAGTTCAGTATGGCCCCTTATCTGCGCCTTGCACTCGGTCCACAGCCCAACAAGTTCCCCGATCTCGTTTACGAGGTCAGGAGACAGCGTTTCATCAAAATTTACCATGCGGTTCAAAACTTGTGTACATGTTGTATGCATGGTATACGCCGCTAAGTTATTTATACGACAATTGGGCTGTAAACATTGCCAGCGACACCCTTGGGTCAACTCGCACCAGAATGTGTGGACTAACAGCGATCTTCTACACGGACGATTGCCAGCCGCCTTCCCCTGACAAACTCACCAGTCTTCTAGAGGCCTCCTTGACAAGTATTAAACATCGAGGACCCGATTCTCGTGGTCTATTCGTGGCTTCTAATTCACGAGTTGGTGAGCAGAATCTAAATCTCTTTGCCCCCTTTTGAATGTCTCCCCATTTAGGACTTGGCCATGTCAGACTTTCAATCATCGACCTGGCAACAGGACAACAGCCTCTGTCGGACGAAGAAGAGTTAATCCACTGTGTGGTCACTGGAGAAATTTACGACCATGAACGCCTTCGCGCTGAAATAGAGGTCAAGGGCTCGGTTTTCAAGACACAGTCCGATTCGTAACTTGTGGTCCAACTGTACGATGATCATCTCCCCCTGAACCGTTCACATTAAAAATGTGGTTGCACAGATACAAGCACGACGGCTTCAATCTTCTATCCTCCTTGCGGGGTGAACTCGCCTTTGTGTTGTATGATTCCAAACGCCAACTTCTTTTTGCTGCCCGCGATCGATTTGGTATCAAGCCATTGTACTACACGATATCCGAGGGCCGGCTTCTGTTGGCTAGCGAGATGAAGGCATTTCTACCCCTTGGCTGGAAGCCCGAATGGGATATCGACAGCATTATGCATAACGGCGACTTCAGTGATGATCGTACCGTCTTCAAAGGAGTTAGAAAGGTATATCTACCTCGGCATTGAGTGGTTGACGAGAGCTCAAGAATTTCTCAACAGTTAGCAGCAGGCCATTCTCTACTGTTCCGCCCAACGGGGTACCTCGGCATCCGAGAATATTGGGACCTCACATATTCCCCCTCCGATACAAGCCCTTCGTCCACCATTGACGACATGATTTCGAATGTCCGCTCCAAATTAATCGGCGCGGTCAGATTGCGGCTCCGCTCTGGCGTAGCTGTCTGCATGTACCTCAGCGGGGGCATTGATAGTGCTGCAATTGCCGGAATTGCGACAGATTATTCGAGAAAAACATCCCGAGGCGAAGCTCACGACGTTTACTTTGGCCTTCCCTCGCACGTTCATTAATTTTCCTCATAATATTCGTCTAACCTCTCGGTAGATTCCGGAGGCCACGATGAAGGGCCTATTGCAGAGCGTATTGCCGCAGCAATTGGGGCCGATGCACACATGGTCAATCTCGACGAGGCGGATCTTGTAGGCGCCTTGGAGGAAACGATTTATCACTCCGAGCAGCCAATATTTTCGCTTCATGGTCAGTGCTCCCTTCGCCTTTGATCAAACTTGAATGCGGGACAAAGGGCCGGGAAAATTTCTGTTGTCCAAGTTTGTCCACGAGAAAGGATTCAAAGTTTGCGATTCATTTTTTTTCAGAAATCCTGCGCTTAGCCCACCTTATAGGTAATTCTCTCCGGGGATGGGGCTGACGAGTTCTTCGGAGGATACGCATGGCTGGTCGTGGACTACCTTCGCCAAGCCGACCCCGCCGGACTATCCCTGGGCCTCGAGCTTCCGTCTGACGAAGAGCGCCAAATGATTCTCGATCGCATCCAAACAGCGCCTGTTCACCAGTTCCCAACGTTGAGTAGTAACTCACATATTGACTCTGTCCTTGCCCGAAAGATGCTGGGAGGGATTGGGACACATCGTTTATTTGCCGCTGCGGGCACTGCTGGACCTGAGGTGTATAACACCACGGCTTTGGCTACCGCTGGCCATCCAGACTCCACTCGCGCAATGGCTGACAATGTCGATGCTCGTGTCCGAGACAAAGCGATGTCGGGTGAATGGCACTCGTTGAATATTGCATCGGTGAGTTCGAGTGCTCTTTGGTTCCGTTGAGCCCATTCATTGATACTGATTCAAAGTATGTTACTGCGAAAACAATTCTCCAACAATTCATCCTCAATAATCTTGGAGAGCGCACTGAGATGTCACACTCTATCGAGGGCCGACCTCCGTTCTTGGACCACCACTTGGTAGAATATATCAACACATTACCGGCGTAAGCGTTTCGCGCCCAATCTGTCCGTTCTGATCTGATGAGCCCAATTACAGGTCAGTAAAAGTCAGACCGTTCAAAGGAGATCGCCCCGGTGTTTGGTCGTTCACGGAAAAGTGGATCCTCAGGGAGGCGGTGAAGCCGTACGTGACGGAGGAGCTATTCAAGCGGAAAAAACTGAGCTATAATGCCCCGCCATCGCGTCGAGCTGCGGGCGACATAGCTCTAGTTCCACTTCAAACCCTCCTCAAGGCTCGCATCACATGCGCAAATGTCGAGCGTCTAGGATTCTTGGATTGGCCATTCTTAAAGGAAACACTGGATGCCTACTTGAATGAGCCCGAATTTCCAGCTGATGGATCTGTGGACAAGCGAGCTCAGGTCTTAATGTACGTCTTGAGCCTTGTGGTTATTCAGGACAGATTCCAGATTCCATGTTCGGCCTTGGGTTGCACAAGATTAGGACTGTTTATTATCCTGCGTGTTTTATCACTTCCGTTGGAGTCTAGAATCATGGTTCGGTATATGAGTCGTAGTTTTGGACTATATAAGTAACTCACAACTTTCTTAACATATGGGGGGGGGATATATTATACTCGCGTGGTCCACATATACGTGCTGGTTCGACTTTGATGGTGTCCAATTTGGTTCGATTTTGAAATCCCCGTTTATTGCCTGTTTTATTTCTGGGGAAGAGATAAAGACGTAGACCCACTGGCCTAAACATTGTGCCCTCTGAGAAGGTCGAACTCTCGACCTCCAGATTGAAGAATTACCCAAATTTCACATCGCAAAGTACATATGAGACTGGCGCTCTAACCAACTGAGCCAAGAAAGCGTTGGAACTTGCCAGGTACCAGTAGTATGGCAATGAAGGCTGGTTTCAGATGATTTTACGGCTTTTGCAGAAATACTACATGTCGGTAGAAAATCCATGACACCTTTTCAGTATTGGCGTCAAATTGTGACTGGCATCCTGAATAAAAAGGACTAGCATAAAGTTCTGATGCGATCATTGATGCCGCCGAATTGCGCCCACAAGGACCCACAGCTGCCGCCACATTGCATGGAACGGAGTCTTTGGCATTTCTAGTCTCACCATACAAACTTGGACGGCCATTGGTGTTCTGGGGTGATCTGATTTTCTCCCTGTCTCTCAATTCTGCTTCCTGTTCCCGGGAGAACCTTCTCTGAGCGTCAATTCACCCTATTCTTTGATCTTCTTGATTATCTCTAGGTGACTGCTGATGCACTGTAGCCACCGGACCCTTCATTGCGTCTCAATTCTGATCCTTGTTCCCAGGGCTGAGGGAAGACTTCTCTGCGCGTCAATTCACCTATTTTGTTCTGCCTTGTTGTCTTTCGGTGACTTACTATGTAACAAAGCTACAGCTAGCGACAGGATTCTCCCTTGTATCTCAACCTGATTTCTGTTTCTAGGAACAAGATCTGCGTTGTTGTTTTCAAGTACCAAGGTTCTCAGGAATCTAGCAGATGGGCTCTTGTGCGATGCTGCTATGCTATTGTATTCATTTTTCGAACACATCTAGACTTACATGAGGCGGACCTGATTCAGACAAATCCGCGGAGTCTCTTTCCTCGGCTTCTCCCTCTTCCTAACTTTTCAGATAGGTAGGCTGCATTTTTTTCAGACAACAACAGTCCTCGCAAGTTGTGAATACTCTCCTCTTAAGGAGTCGTCGAGCACGACAAATCAACACGCGCTAGGACGGAGTATTCCAAATGACATCTCATGTGAGAATCATGTCCCGATTGGGTTGGAAGCTAGCGTCTACTAGATCTATGGCCGTGCAATTTCTGATGCAGCGTATTGTTGTCCCCCCTGCTTTTGTACTTTCTTGGACAAAGTCGTCGCCTTGGCTGTCAAAGGCTGTATAAACTCTGCCCCAATCGCGTTTGAACGCAAGAAACGCAACTGGATCCCCACTCCGAAACAGAACCTCTACGAAATAGAACCACCCCAAACTCAATTCAAGAAATGGCCCATATCAATTCGTCCATTCTATCTACCACCCGGCTACAGGACACCAAATCTCAGAAACGCGCGATGAACGACGGTACGAAAATCCTCAGCTGTGGTCCGATTCCTACCTGATGGTCTTTTCAGATTATTATTCACCGCACTCAACGCGGCGCTACGGCCAGCCTGAAAAAGAAATTCGAACCACAGTCAAGAATACAACGGGCAAAGGTAGCCCTCTGCTTTCTATGCTCTCTCATGTCCTATAGCTATGCTAGATCGGACCTATGTACTCAAAAATCGTGCTCCTATTGTCTATCCTTCGACACCTCCGGACAGTCAATTGACGGATGGTAATATTGATTACCATCAAACGATAGTTCAGTCTAATAACTGCGCCCACAGATGAGGAGTATATCCCTGCAAGTCAACCTGAAACTCCTCCCAATATGCATGCGCGTTCCAATGCCTCCAATGTTTCCGGCAGTCCCGAGTTGAAAGGATCTGGTCCCCCTTCGACGGTATCGGATGAGTGTGAAAATGATTCAGAAATGACAGATGATCCAGATTTCGCATCACAAGAGGGTGGGAGAGATTGTGGTGATTCCTATATGATTTCTTACCTCTGAACAACAGAGCCTTTAGCATCGGCGTCGGTTAATCCGCTTCAAGGTAAACGTCGCTTCAACAACAAAAAAACCTAGCTTGAACGACAAATTTCTAGGGTTGCCGTCGAATACAATCTCAGCCCTGAGTGAGTGCAACAAAACTCAGAAAGTTCCTCCCTGATCACTCGTCGCAGTTTCAGAAGAGACTGCTCCGAGCACTGGACCACCGACTATGAGAAAGAGAAAAGCAAGTGTAGGGCTGATGCCCGATACTTGTTCAAAGGTTGCACGAAACTTCAAAACTTCTCTAACCCGGACTCCTCAAGTTACGCACACTATTTCCAACCCCAAAGTTCGTCGCCTCTTGCCTCTCGCGATGCGTGGCCGTGGCTTGCCCAGCAAAAGTGGGGTACAATTGTCCTCGAGACGTGTCTGGACGAAGCACCCGGATCCCCATTCCTCACCCCGGGAGTTCACCTCCCAGAAACATTCCCACGTCGGACCCCCTCTATACGACCCGAAAACTGCAAACACCCCCATTTTTTTCTGGCCAAATCCAACGGCTAGCGAAGAGGCAAGGTAGGCGAATTCGACGTGGTATGGGTCGACAACGTTCATGGTTGCATTTGATTAGTGCGCATTTAAATGCATATCCCGAGGTCAAAGAGTGGGATACATATTCTAGCCACTTCAAAAGTGGAGGCATGACTTTCTCTGTTCACCAACCCACCAAAGCTGCGCAATGGGTAGAAGACAACTACGATCATCGACTTTTACGGTCAGTTCGTGATCAAGGACTCGGAGGGCCGGTGGCGCTCATGTTGTTCCCTACAACACCCGCACTTGCGATATTCGGGGAAAGCGACAATGAAAATCTCTATCTCTCTCGCAAGCTGGCTATTTTATCTGACTTGCCAGTCGTTCTCCGCCCGTCAGAAGATCGTCCCAATTTCATGTGAGCTTTAGCTTGCAGCGCTGAACTGAAGCTAACGCTCAATGACACCTCAGGTACCTGATTGAGAGCGTGAAGGGTACTCCAGCTGATTCAGAGGCCGTTGATAATCAGGAATTTGCGGGTGGTGGTGGTGGTTCCCCGACGGGAAGTTCTCACTCGTGGGAATCGTCGAGTGGGGGCGGGGGTGGCGGAGGCAGGGGCCATCGGGGACAAGGAGATCGAGAAGAAGGGAGAGATGGCTCTGGAGGCTTCTCTGGTGGAGGCGCTGGCGGTGCCGATAGAGGCTCTGGTGGTATCGATGATGTTCCACCCGCGGTGTGGGAGGAATTCTGGAATGGTCCGGCGCATGAGACCAGAATCAAGGTTGAGATGGTGACGAAAAAGGGGGCCACACGTTTTATCACTTTTACCCGTCAAGTCCAGGTGCGTGCAGAGCCTCAGGGACCTAATTAGCTTTCCGACCCCACATAGTTCATCACACATCGGGATGGCAATACACACCCGGTTGGAGTTCTTCCCCCAGACTACATTATAGATCTCAGTCAGCCACTCACGCGACCTCAAGCAATTGGGAACGTTGATTTCAACGTTGACCTTGCGCAGTCCGAAGGCATACAACTGGATCGATCATACTCGGGCATTGGCTTTGAGGCGCATCGGCAAAACTCCATTTCAAATCACAGATGGTTATAATTCATGTCTGAAGCTGCTCCGACGTTACTGACACCCCGCCATGCGTAGGGTCAAGCGTGGTTGCGAACTTCCTGACACAACGCTCAAACGTAGTGATCAGCGACAAACACAGAACAATTTCTCTGCCAGTTTAGCTTCGGGAGGTCCATCCGTCTCCTATGCCCTCAGCAGGTCCGACGGTCGAACAGTCGAAGCAACTGACAACAGGGTAACCCTCAGTTTATCGGGACCGTGCATCCATCGAATAACAGCTTTGCAGGTTATGCCACACTGTCTTGTGACGTATATGGAAAAAGACTCCTGGGACAGGGACGGAAAGAGCTATGCTGGAATAAAAGTCTCCTATAGCTCGGACCGCCTCGAACCGTTAGCTGTCAAGACTGCAGTCGGCGTCAACTTTTTCTCTACTACAGCTGATGGGGTGCGCGCTTTTGTTCCCTTACCGCTCACTTGGATTCACGATCACATAGGTCCAAACATCACCTCCAGATCTCTCATTTGTCGATAGAAACCAGGTGGTCTTGTGGGTTGCAGACGCCTCTTCCAAAGCAAAAATGACGGGAATTGTTGTGGTTCTCAATTTAAGCTTCGCAGAGTCCAGTTAGCAGGTGCTAAATAACACCTCTAGAACTATATTAAAGATGCCCGCTCACGAACTGCATTAAATGTGGCTGAAAGTCTGACAGTGAATCTGAGGCTGCCGAACAGTCAACCAGAGAATTCAGGTGCGTACATTGCCAAGACTTGGGAAAAAATTAATGAAACGAGCAATAGCTTCTCCACGACAGTATAGAGGACATCCGATTGCAACCTCCCTCTCCATCGCAGTGGCCCCCAAAATGTCAAAAAGCACGAGGTTGATCAAACGGTTTAATAAAATACTGCATCAGGATTTGGACATTGGAGAATCATTCATTCCTAATGCTTATATTTCAAGGGGATGGGATGCCACGAATAAGGGGTGGAGAGAAGCAATGTTTCCGAATTTGGATGAAGAGCTACGGCCTGCTGATCGTGAGGGCACAACCACCGCTTGGCACGTTTGTAAGGTCCGAGGTTGAAGAGGGACTCCGGAATAGGTCATACAATGTCATCAGAGTATCGAGAAGATTTTAAAGCCTAATACAATGTGTTTTGTTTTGTTTCACATGGCCTTAATATGGCCGGTTCATTGATCATTCAACCAAAAGTTCAACCAGTCACGTGAATCATCGCAGACGATTCAGACGAAATTGACGGCTATTTAAACAAATCTTTAATAGTGCGGTAGCATATTTTTTTCTGGTAGACTGCGCGGACTACATTGCTTTGATAGATATATACCCACCTTCTCTGCAGGGATCTACTCGCGTCGGCGCATCGTCGCTGAAGCACGCATTCAGAGACGCGAGTTGGACTGTCACTGAAGGACGAAATTGTGTCGTACATATTAATATTTTGTGGCAAAACCTCTGGGCCACTGGCCCTACGGCGACTAAATCAAGAACTGGAATGAAAGCCGAACCGGCTTCAGTGGCTAGTGCCCGCAAGTTGAAAAATCCGGTAGAGAAGTTAAGGTGACGCGTTTCAAGACAGTATATTTAAAAATAAGGAGTCGGGCT